TATATTTTCACATTTTTGCACCTCTAGAGTTTTATCACACTAAGAACACTGTGTACATATTGTGTGTCTTTTGTTTTCTGCTTCATTATCTACTATGAAATAAAAGTGGCATAGGAACACCAGGAATACAGTATTTTAGAAGATTTTTGGTGCAACAAAAAGTGTAAATATTAAATAATGGAATGTACTACACAAAAATAACGCAATAGGAAAAAAAATACAGTTAAAGGTCCAAAAGATGTTTAGAAAAAAAAAAAAAATTGATAACACCAGAAAAAAAAGTCCAGACTTCCTCAAGTCCTTCATCCAGCATCTGTGTGTAGGCTGACAGGTCATCATTGTGTAAGAATTTTACAATTTATAGGATCCATCTGCTGCTTCATGTTTCATGTTTTTTTTTTTTTTTTTAAATGTCTTCAAAAAGGTCTGATGGGATAAAAGTGTTGCTGCTTTTGTAAACACTAAACACTATTTGCCAGACGCACTTTGAGACATCTTACGGTGCTTTCTAATTTTTGCACGCGTTTTGCAAAACCAGAGTCCATGACCGTAAGTGCTCACTACATCTTCTAAATACTATAAACCACAGGATATGTGTTTAGTAGCAGATTTGTACAATATGCAATACTCAGAGTCTTTATACTGTTTAGCATTATGCATTATTTTATATTGACTAGCCTTATTTATTATTTTATTAAAGCGGGTGCAGAAGATTACCCACCACAAAAAAACATTGTCATCTCTCCAGCACCCAACGGGTTCCGCTTGTTTCATTGCCCCGGGAGTTAAACCCTTCTTTAAGCTCTTTTCCTTTTATGTTCCATTGGCCCTGTCTCACGGCTACTCTCGGGTTAATAAATTAGCTAAAGGTTCCGTTAATGAGTAGAGATTGTTAAGAATTATTTGATATTGAGTGACAGCCCAGGGATAGCATGAGCTCTGTATGACTGAATGTTCCAGATAAACAATCCATTGGATCCTGGCCTTCTCTGGCTCTATATTAGCACGTTTCACAGCCAAGTCTTGGAGAAGGTAACCTCGATGCATTGCCAGCGGCAATCTGACTGCCCTGAATCACTCACCAACTGGATTTATTAATCTGTGAACAGAGTGCGATGTAAACACCTAATTATGTCATTAATGTGTAACCCGAGTTGAGCTCCTTGGTTTGGACTCTGAACAGACTGGAATCTCTTTTATTGGACTGTACAAGAAAAACAGGAATCATTAACCTCTGCTGTGCCGTGCCAGGCTGTGCACGAGCCCCTGCAGGATGCTGGACCTTCCCATGATCTTCTGCCAAAGTGCATTCTGGGAGTCATATTCCAAAGGACCTGAAGTGCCAGAGTTTGCCGATCCCTGGGTATTATTAACCGAGTCACTACATTTTTCTCCTGGCTGTTATATTATTGTTATGATATATTATTACTTTTTTTTATTTTTTATTCTTTATTTTTGGCATGCATGGGAGTATAACAATTTATCTCGTCATGCCCCAACAGCATTGACAAGTACATGGCAAAACATTTGTTAACAGTTGGTCAGCATGTGAAAAAACAGCACAAATTTTATAGAGCAACATATTCAGATTGAGTGTTCCTATCTTAAGACGATCAGTGCGTAATATGCTTGTCTGGTGGGAACATTTCTATTCTTGTAGAATATACCTATTATGTTATTATAAAAACAAGATGATCCGTAGATTAGTCTAACATGTCTAACTACAGGAGTTAATAGCGGTGAATCTTAATAGTAGCTGTTACAGTGGAATAGACCTGATACATACAGCATGTATTATATGTTGATAAGCTGTGTGGCCAGGTAGACATAGCAATATATCAGACGGTACATTAGATGAGCAAGCTATGGAGAGCACTGTTAATGCACCCCTGGGCACAATGTCAGTGGAAAGGTGTACTGCCACGACAATATTTAGAGCATGGAGAGTGTGTAGAGGAGAAAGTAATACATGGTAAAGGCATGTTTCTCAAGGCTTAGTGTATAGCATGCAAAACTCAGAAATTCGTTGTTCTGGGTATTAGGCAGAGAATGCATCCATGTATCAGCTCAGAGTTTAGAGTCTTTCGATCGCCGCGATCCACTCTGTTTAGCCTGTGAGTTTTGCGGTAAAATCCGCTGTTTAGTTGCAGTAAGTCGTGATTTTCGTTGATTTGGCCCAGGAGCTCATGCAACGTGCGTCTGCTTAGCTAACCTGTCAGGCCCTGCCCCCCCATAATATATTATTACTTTTAATGACACTCGTAATTAATCATAAATAATATTGTGTACAATAAGATTTATTTAAGAGAAAACTTTGATTTGATTTATTTTTTTTATCAGTATTTTAGGAGTGACTGCTCATTCAGTGACTGTTTATAATTGATTTTGGAATTTATACTGAGTTATCCCTCGAGTGTGCACCTTGTGTTTTTGCAGATTACAATTAGAATTATTTAAGTATTCCTGAACAATAATCTAAACATGAAATAGCTGTTCATATGTTAGTTATACGGTCCATATTTTAAATAAATGTAATGCTTAAAAATTCTAAACAAACAAGAATTTGGTAATGAAGAGATTAGTGTAAATTAAGAGCAGCGAGAGAAATGGAGGAACAGTTCAGTTTGGCTTACAAAGAATTTATTAAAAATATTTAAAAAAAAACAACATATCAAATCAAATTGTTCATCTGTTTTGACATGACAATTAGAAAGTTAAAGGGACACAATAGGCACCCAGGACCATTCATCTTAATGTGCCGTACCCCAGCCCCATTACCCCAATTTAACCTGCAAGTGCAAGTGTCCTGTGAAGTGACCGTCTCTACAGGCACTTCTGCCAAAATACCCGAATAAAAGATGGTCTCAGAGATGATCTCCATGATCTCAGCCAAGGAGGTGGGACTGCAGCAAAAAGGCCAGCTTTGTGAGGGACAAAAGGTAAGTAACTTTTTATTCCCTACAGGTGGGGGGTGGGGAAAGATAAAGGGCCAACAGGGCACTATAGCTTTAGCAGTAGACATTTATACACCTAACGCTATAACGTTCCTGTAAAAATATTTTGAATTTTTAACGAAAGCGATTTTTTTAGGAGATTATTGGGGACAAAACACTGAGGAGTTTATTCTATAAAACTGAAACCGAGCTAAACTGACATGGGAACTAGAAATGTGATAATTTCTCCACAATTACTGCTTTAGTAATTAACCCTGTTAATGATGAAACCCCTGGACGTCTACTGATATTGTGAGATATTATACTTTATTATAAAGTACACATATATTGTCATTAATATTATATTTTATTATAAAGTACACATATATTGTTATTAATATTGTACTTTATATAAAGTACACGTATATTGTCATTAATATTATATTTGATTATAAAGTACAGATATATTGTTATTAATATTATACTTTATATAAAGTACACATATATTGTCATTAATATTATACTTTATTATAAAGTACACATATATTGTCATTAATATTATATTTTATTATAAAGCACAGATATATTGTTATTAATATTATACTTTATATAAAGTACACATATATTGTCATTAATATTATACTTTATATAAAGTACACATATATTGTCATTAATATTATATTTTATTATAAAGTACAAATATATTGTTATTAATATTATATTTTATTATAAAGTACACATATATTGTCATTAATATTTTACTTTATATAAAGTGCACATATATTGTCATTAATATTATATTTTATTATAAAGTTCAGATATATTGTTATTAATATTATACTTTATTATATTGTACACATATATTGTTATTAATATTATACTTTATTATAAAGTACAGATATATTGTTATTAATATTATACTTTATTATATTGTACACATATATTGTTATTAATATTATACTTTATTATAAAGTACAGATATATTGTTATTAATATTATACTTTATATATTGTACACATATATTGTTATTAATATTATACTTTATTATAAAGTACACATTTATTGTTATTAATATTATACTTTATTATAAAGTACACATAAATTGTCATTAATATTATATTTTATTATAAAGCACAGATATATTGTTATTAATATTATACTTTATATAAAGTACACATATATTGTCATTAATATTATACTTTATATAAAGTACACATATATTGTCATTAATATTATATTTTATTATAAAGTTACAAATATATTGTTATTAATATTATATTTATTATAAAGTACACATATATTGTCATTAATATTTTACTTATATAAAGTGCACATATATTGTCATTAATATTATATTTTATTATAAAGTACAGATATATTGTTATTAATATTATACTTTATTATATTGTACACATATATTGTTATTAATATTATACTTTATTATAAAGTACAGATATATTGTTATTAATATTATACTTTATTATATTGTACACATATATTGTTATTAATATTATACTTTATTATAAAGTACAGATATATTGTTATTAATATTATACTTTATTATATTGTACACATATATTGTTATTAATATTATACTTTATTATAAAGTACACATTTATTGTTATTAATATTATACTTTATTATAAAGTACACATAAATTGTCATTAATATTATATTTTATTATAAAGTACAGATATATTGTTATTAATATTATACTTTATTATATTGTACACATATATTGTTATTAATATTATACTTTATTATAAAGTACACATTTATTGTTATTAATATTATACTTTATACTGTACACATATATTGTTATTAATATTATGCTTTATTATAAAGTACACATTTATTGTTATTAATATTATACTTTATTATAAAGTACAAATATATTGTTATTAATATACTTTATTATATTGTACACATATATTGTTATTAATATTATATTTTATTATATTGTACACATATAGTGATGTCCCAAACGGTTCGCCGAACGGTTCGCCACGAATGGTTCGCAGCGGACTCCTCATTGAGTAAACTTTGACCCTGTACCTCACAGTCAGCAGACACATTCTAGCCAATCAGCAGCAGACCCTCCCTCCCAGACCCTTCCACCTCCTGGACAGCTCACTAAGAATGCAGCTTCACAATGAATGTAAAATGGATGCTGTCCAGGAGGTGGGAGGGTCTAGGAGGGAGGGTCTGCTGCTGATTGGCTGGAATGTGTCTGCTGACTGTGAGGTACAGGGTCAAAGTTTACTCAATGATGAGTCCGTGGCGAACCGTTCGTGACGAACCGTTCGCAAACCGTTCGGCAAACCGTTCAGGACATCACTATACACATATATTGTTATTAATATTATACTTTATTATAAAGTACACATTTATTGTTATTAATATTATACTTTATTATATTGTACACATATATTGTTATTAATATTATGCTTTATTATAAAGTACACATATTCTGCATTCCTATGAAGTTAAAACTTGTTTTACGTAGCTCCCAGTAAAGCAGAAGGAGTTTTTTTTATAGAATTTTGTGCTATAGAGAATTTGGAACTGATTTTTTTTTTTTTTTACCTTTTCCTGAAATACAATTGTCTAATTAAAATAATCTGGTTGGCAAAACAGATAAAATAGCACCTTAAAATTGTATGAATCACAAAGAGAGTAATTTCATTAAAAAAAATAAGTGTGTAACGAGCTGGAACTAGTGGAAGTCGTAACCTAGTGACTAGTGGAAGTCGTATATTAGATTTATAGTAAGAATAAAATATTTCTTTGTATCTTAGTGACTAGTGGAAGTCGTATATTAAATTTATGATGTTATTAAAATATTTGCTTGGGGCAGAACACATGAACAGATCTGTCTCAGACCGGGGCAGCACCCTCACTCCTCAGTCTATGACTGTAACCAGCATCTAGTATCGGGATATACACCTCAAATCCAGTGCTGGTCTATATAAATAGTTTTGCTGATTTGTAAAGCGAGGGCGTTACTTTACCCATCATCGTGATATGTTAAAATACCTAAAATGACTTACAATAGAATACATAGCTTGCCTTGTTTATAGAAACTTAATAAATACATTTCCACACAACCTACGCATCCAATCAAACCAAACCTGTCACAACCACTAATAGTTATCTGTCCAATCAAACCTAACCAAATCTGTAACAACCGCTAATGGTTATCATCCAATCAAACCAAACCTGTAACAACCGCTAATGGTTATCTGTCCAATCAAACCAAACCTGTAACAACCGCTAATGGTTATCATCCAATCAAACCAAACCTGTAACAACCGCTAATGGTTATCATCCAATCAAACCAAACCTGTAACAACCGCTAATGGTTATCATCCAATCAAACCAAACCTGTAACAACTGCTAATGGTTATCATCCAATCAAACCAAACCTGTAACAACCGCTAATGGTTATCATCCAATCAAACCTGTAACAACCGCTAATGGTTATCATCCAATCAAACCAAACCTGTAACAACCGCTAATGGTTATCATCCAATCAAACCAAACCTGTAACAACCGCTAATGGTTATCTGTCCAATCAAACCAAACCTGTAACAACCGCTAATGGTTATCATCCAATCAAACCAAACCTGTAACAACCGCTAATGGTTATCATCCAATCAAACCAAACCTGTAACAACCGCTAATGGTTATCATCCAATCAAAGCAAACCTGTAACAACCGCTAATGGTTATCATCCAATCAAATCAAACCTGTAACAACCGCTAATGGTTATCATCCAATCAAACCAAACCTGTAACAACCTCTAATGGTTATCATCCAATCAAACCGAACCTGTAACAACCGCTAATGGTTATCATCCAATCAAATCGAACCTGTAACAACCGCTAATGGTTATCATCCAATCAAACCGAACCTGTAACAACCGCTAATGGTTATCATCCAATCAAACCGAACCTGTAACAACCGCTAATGGTTATCATCCAATCAAACCAAACCTGTCAGAACTGCTAATGGTTATCATCCAATCAATCCAAACCTGTAAGAACTGCTAATGGTAATAATAACTGAGAAACGTGAATGAAGACTGACACACTCCCTTCTAGTCGGTCACTATGATGGAAACAGCAGGGTACGTACACTTAATAGGGAGCTGATGGATAAACAGTCAAACTGGAAAAATATGCAGTTCTGTTCAGTTAAATCAAAACAATTTACACGTGTTTAGTAAATAACTCCCTAGTTACAATTTTTAAAATACATTTCTTTTGTTACCATGAATTTTAACAAAAGCCAATCAGCCTGTGTAATATTCTCATTGTGAATTCTCAGACTGATTTTGTTTATTTGTTCGTGTCTTGAACACGTCCCAAGCATTCTTCAGTTCCTAGCATACCAAACATAAAACAAATTACTCACAAGTCAGAAAAACACAAACACAACTCATATTTTTGAGTGTAACAACCCACTTCTAATGTATGTTGGACACCAGTGCAACAGGTAAGAAATCTTAAGGAAGTGGTGAGGTAGACTTCTTAAACGATAGAGTAGAGGAGAGTCTGATTGGGGAGACAGGTTGCTCCATAATAATAGTGCCACAAGAACTCCTATAAGTGCGAGTTAGCAGTACAAGTAGTAGACAGAAGACGGTCACCGGCAGAGTGGAGCAATGGATGTGGGCAATGTTTTTAAGGTGGAATTGCCATAATTTGACAGATTATGAGGTGTAAAGGTGAGGGTAGAAGATAACACCAACACAGTGAGCTTACAACAACAGGCTGAACTGCGGAGTACGGAGAGTGAAACTGGAGGATTAGAATTATAAGGAGCAATGATAAGCTCAATTTTAGAGAGATTTCATTTTAGAAAGCAGTAGGGCATCCAATCAGAAACTAAAAGAGGCAACTGGTGAAAGTCCACTGATCTCTCTTGAGCAGGAGAAAGATAAGGTTAGGAGAGGTATAGCTGGGTGTCAATGGCATTTAGATGGTATCGAGATCCAAAGGAATGAATAAATTGAGACAGCATAAACAGTAAATAGAAAGGGACTGAGGACAGAGTCTTGGGGGCTCATCTGTGACAGGATAGGAGGAAATGATGTTACCAGAAAACGAGACACTGAATGATCGTTGGAGAGATAGGATATGAATCATGAAAGGACAGTGTCACGAAGGTCTGAAGAGTATGGAGAACGAGAACAGTGTCAAAGGCAGAAGAGAGGTCTAGAAGAACTAGTATGGAGTAGTGGTCTTTGGATTTAGCCGTGATTAGATTATTAGAGTCTCAGTACCATGAAGGGGGCAGCAGAGAGATTGAGGAGGATCAAAAGCGGGTGTTAGAATTGAGAAAGCATGTCAGATGAGTAAAGTCAAGTCATTCTACAAGCTTTGAGGAGAAAGGGAGCAGAAAAATTAGACGGTAGTTTGAAGGAGAAGATGGGTCAAGAGACAGTTATATTGGATGGGTAGAATGTTTAAGGCGAGCAGAGACAATGCCATAAGGAAAAAAGAAGCTGAAGATTTGTGTTAAGAACAGCACAAGGCAGAGGAGAGATATCTTATAATGGGATCAAGGGGTAAATGGTGAGGTGAGGGTAAAGGAGAAGAGCTGACGCCCCCTGTTCAGTAACCAGAGAGGGCCTGAAGGGTAGGAGAGGCTCAGTCAAAATCAGGTTGAAAGAGAGTGGAATGAATGGTGGAGAATTCTTTCCTTAACTGAATAATCCTGAATGTAAAATTGTGTGAAACGTTTTTACTGAACTTGTGGGACAGTACAAGCACTGCTTTACCCCCTGTAAATGCACTGAATCTGTTAATAGTTGAGTAAAGCAGCCTCATTGGATATAAAAAAATATATTAACAGATTTCTGCAGAAAATACCAGCTTACACACAAATCCAAGGGGACAATTACCACACTCCACATTGAACACAATTGCAAATTTATAAATGCTAAAATAAAAACAATTCACAAAAGCGACTTAAATCATAGTGCTAAACTTTTATCACTTCATTTCTACAAAACAAAAACCACTTGTTTGAAAAGAAAGGTAAAGTTTACCGATATTATGGTCTGCCAACACGGAGATGTGGGTAGTACTGGAGTATTTAAAACGCACCAAGACCATGTTAGTTTTATCTATCAGAAAAATTACTTTGTGGTTTATTCGCGTTACATCAAATTATATTCAACTTTAATCAGGATTCCAAAATTTTAATTAAAAATAGCCAATCTTTCACTATAGATGGGCTGGGTATTAGTCTCCCAAATCTGCAGTTTTTCGTATTTATTTTCACTCCATATATATATATATTTCATATATTTTGTGAAATCGTTTTCATTTGCAGCCACCCTTTAAAAACATTACATTTCATGATAATTTGTAGCTTTTTTCAAACTGGAAAAATATACAAAACTGTTAAGAGTAGTTAGTAAATCAATACCAGTGATCCTTCCCTTTTAGAGTAAAATAAATCATGTTTTCCTTGTTAAAAGAATGCAGGTGCATATAACTGCCAATCTATCGGCTGTTTTCCTGCCCCAGATATGACCCTTAATACACAGCACATTTCTTGTTAGTCCTTTTTTTTACACTATTTGATATGGTAACAGAAGTAGAAAAACATAGCTTCTACCATAATAGTACATTGATTTAATGCAGATCAGATGTGGTCAGAATGTTGTTACGCAATTCGAAGGGAAGATGAAAAATGCAGCTGATTACACTAGCACTGGGGATTAGAATAGCAGGTGGTATTTGGCAGAGCCACCTGCTCTGAGACTGATTTGGGGGTTATTTACAAAGAATGATTCGGGGGCAGCATTCTAAAAGTGGAGCAGTATCCATGGCAACCCATATTGTATTTCTTCTGTTTGCGGAATACGATATTTAGAAGAAGAACAATTCAATTTTTACACAGAATCCTCAGTGTCTTCTCTGATTCGTAAACCAAGAAAGGGTTAATAAAAATATTCCTTCGCATTTTTCCATGGAACAGAAATGAGGATTTGAACATCCCGTTACTGAAATTTAGCACCAAAGGGAATATTTCTTGATTTATTTGCTAACTCTTCAGCGTAGGCTTTCAATGACTTGGCAGACAGGAAGGTAATTTCAAATCCGTCTTTCTTTCTGCAGGATGATAAAATGTCGAGTTCTGGAGCAGTAATTTAATTTACTTCTCATTTCAGTTCCCCGGCAGACCACCCGGACACCACACGCATGAGGCTGTTATATTACTCAATGGTAAGAGCAACGGATCAATTCTTCATTACCACGTAAAAGAGATATCTGAACTTTGCAAATTAACGATGACTGTCTTGAGGAAATATTCTTGTTATGGCTGCCATTTTCCAGGTGGCCAAATACACAACGTCGTTATTACACATGGATTTGTTAACATTTTCTGCAAATCTGCTAAAAGACGCAGCAGTTATTAGTTAGCATCCTGGGACAATTCTACTTCTTTCAGTAAACGTCTTTTTGTCGTTAAAGATTCTGTGCTTGTAATCATTAGATGATTCAAATATGGCATTCTATTTAAAGAGATATACCAACCTACATCCAAATTATAAAGGAGCTAAATAGAGGAGTTACCAATTTAACTTTAAAATATGAATGTTAATACCTCTCAAGGGCCACTATTTAGGAGAGAGAGTCTTTATTTAGGTATAAATCTATCTGTCCCTCTTATCTATGTGCTCCATGTTAATCCACAGTAATAATACTCCAAGTAATGTGTCTGAGTGTATAACAGAGCTCCACAGCAATAATACTTCCTGTAATGTGTCTGAGTGTATAACAGAGCTCCACAGCAATAATACTCCCAGTAATGTGTCTGAGTGTATAACAGAGCTCCACAGCAATAATACTCCCAGTAATGTGTCTGAGTGTATAACAGAGCTCCCAGCAATAATACTCCCAGTAATGTGTCTGAGTGTATAACAGAGCTCCACAGCAATAATACTCCCAGTAATGTGTCTGAGTGTATAACAGAGCTCCACAGCAATACTACTCCCAGTAATGTGTCTGAGCGTATAGTAGAGCTCCACAGCAATAATACTCCCAGTAATGTGTCTGAGCGTATAGCAGAGCTCCACAGCAATAATACTCCCAGTAATGTGTCTGAGCGTATAGCAGAGCTCCACAGCAATAATACTCCCAGTAATGTGTCTGAATGTATAACAGAGCTCCCAGCAATAATACTCCCAGTAATGTGTCTGAGTGTATAACAGAGCTCCCCCCATGTAATACTCCAGTATGTGTCTAGATAACAGAGCCCAACAGCCAACTACTTTGTCTGGCGTATATGAGCTCCACAACAATAATACTCCAATGTGATAGCAGCATAATACTGTAATCAGATTTTTGTCTGGGGGGTGGAACTCACCCAAGATTACCTAATCAGGGTCAAGTCCTGGGGAAAAAAGTGTGGGAACTCACCCAAGATTACCGCCTCCCCTCCTCCCCCCCCCAGCAATAATACTCCCAGTAATGTGTCTGAGTGTATAACAGAGCTCCACAGCAATACTACTCCCAGTAATGTGTCTGAGCGTATAGTAGAGCTCCACAGCAATAATACTCCCAGTAATGTGTCTGAGCGTATAGCAGAGCTCCACAGCAATAATACTCCCATGCATATAGTGCAGTGCAGGGTGTGTATAATAAATGTAGTGTGTTTGTAGTGAATGCAGAGTATGAATAATAAATGTAGCGTGTTTGTAGTGAGTGCAGTGTGAATAATAATTGTAGTGTATTTGTAGTGAGTGCAGAGTGTGTATAATGAATGCAATGTGTTTTTAGTGAGTGCAGAGTGTGTATAATGAATGTAGTGTATTTGTAGTGAGTGCAGTGTGTATAATAAATGTAGTGTGTTTGTAGTGAGTGCAGTGTGTATAGTGAATGCAGTGTGTATAGTGAATGTGGTGTTTTTGTAGTGAGTGCAGAGTGTGTATAATGAATGCAGAGTGTGTATAATGAATGTAGTGTGTTTGTAGTAAGTGAAAATTGTGTATAATGAATTTAGTGTTTGTAGTGAGTGTAGTGTGTACAATGAATGCAGTGTATGTAGAGTGTTTGTAGTGAATGCAGAGTGTGTATAGTGAATGTAGTGTGTAGTGAGTGCAGAATGTGTATAATGAATGCAGAGTGTGTATAGTGAATGCAGAGGGTGTATAGTGAATGTAGTGTGTTTGTAGTGAGTGAAGAGTGTGTATAATGAATGCAGTGTGTGCGCGCGCTGGATGACGTGTGTGTGAGTGCTGGATGATTGTGTGTGTGCTGGATGATGTGTGTGTATGTGTGCTGGATGATGTGCGTGTGTGTGTGCTGGAGGATGTGTGTGTGTGTGTGCTGGAGGGTGTGTGTGTGTGCTGGATGATTTGTGTGAGTGCTGGATGATGTGTGTGAGTGCTGGATGATGTGTGTGTGAGTGCTGGATGATGTGTGTGAGTTCTGGATGATGTGTGTGTGTGTGCTGGATGATGGGTGTGTGTGTGCTGGATGATGGGTGTGTGAGTGCTGGATGATGGGTGTGTGAGTGCTGGATGATGGGTGTGTAGTGGAGTGCTGGATGATGTGTGTGCTGGATGATGGGTGTGTGTGCTGGATGATGTGTGTGGAGTGCTGGATGATGGGTGTGTGTGTAGGTGCTGGATGATGGGTGTGTGAGTGAGTGCTGGATGATGTGTGTGTGAGTGCTGGATGATGGGTGTGTGTGAGTGCTGGATGATGGGTGTGAGTGCTGGATGATGTGTGTGTGAGTGCTGGATGATGGGTGTGTGTGTGCTGGATGATGGGTGTGTGAGTGAGTGCTGGATGATGGGTGTGTGTGTGCTGGATGATGGGTGTGTGAGTGAGTGCTGGCTGATGGGTGTGTGTGTGCTGGATGATGGGTGTGTGAGTGAGTGCTGGATGATGTGTGTGTGTGTGCTGGATGATAGGGGGGGGAAGAATTTTTTTTTTTACTTTATGTGTCTATATTTTTTTTATTTTATTCCCCTCTCCCTGCTTCTTACCTTGTCAGGGAGGGGGGAGATCGCCTGGTGGTCCGGTGGAGGGAACCAGCCGCTGCACAGAGGGGCCATCACACGCTGTGTTCCCTCTCGAGCTCTAACTCTCGCGAGACTCGCCTGTGCGGAGCGTTGCCATGGTAACAGCTGCGGGTCTCGCGAGAGTTATAGCTGGAGAGGGAACACAGCGTGTGCTGGCCCCTCTGTGCAGGTAGCAGGGCCGGTCCTGCAGGACAGGTAACGGGAACGGCGTTCCTGCTTTGGAAAAAGTGCAGGAACGCCGTTCCAATGCGTTCCTGCAGGACTCGAGCCCTGATTGTAATGACATCCATGCTTGGTCCCTTTTTGACAGTGTCATGAAGTGGAGGAGCATAGTCAATATCACATAAAGCCAGGTTGAATAGCGTTTTCACAACTATGGTGTCAGGAATACATGTTTGTATTCCTGACACTATAGTGTTCCTTTAAGCAAATTAAAGGAATATTCTGGTCACCATAACAACTTCATCTAAATGAAAATGCTATGATACCAGAAAGCCCCTGGGTGTTCTCTTTCCTTTAAGGGGTTAAACCGCTCTCAAATGGTTTAACCCCAAAGTCTTCCTCCAGCTCCAGGTCGCTCAGTGGTATTCAACATCTGAAACGAATCAGTAATGGGTGCCGCTAATTGGCTAGAGTGGTCAGTTGACGCTCTAAGCCAATCGCTAGTTCCCGGTTCATAAAAATGTTTTACTTTTTTATGAATGGGGAGCTACTGATTGGCTTAGAGTGCCAGCTGACCGCTCTAGCCAATCAGCGACACCTCTCCCCAGCGGCACTCTTTGCTTCCTGACACTCAGTAAATAAAAGTGAACACATTAACACTGATATTTTTTTTACCTGGGGAGATGAGAAGGTCCAAAGTTTCCCTGCCAGAATCAGGTACCAAAGCCTTATGATGTGGTGTCCAGAATAAAGTGGAGGGTTCACTTCACTTGTCCTTCCTGCTCCAATCTCCTTTTCTTCTCCTTCATTTGACACAGTCTTCTTTTTCTTCTGACACAGTCTTCTATACTTGGCTACTTCTGCTCCATTACCTTTCTGCTACTTTCTGCTTATTTTGTTTCCCCTTCTGCTCCTTTCTCTTTCTGATCCCCTTCTGCTCCTTGCAGTCCCTTTCTGCTCCTTCTCCTACTTTATCTTTGTGCTCCTTGCTGTCCCTTTGTGCTCCTTGCTACCCTTTTCTGCTCCTTCTCCTGCTTTACCTTTCTGTTCCTTCTGATTCTTTGTGCTCCTTCTGTCCCTTTCTGCTCTTTGCAGACCCTTACTTCTCCTGGCAGACCCTTCCTACTCCTTGCTGCGCATTGCAGATCCTTCCTGCTCATTTCTGTTCCATCTCCTACTTCACCTTTGTGCTCCTTCTGTCCCTTCCTGCTCCTTGCTGCCATTTTCAGCTCCCTGCTGACCCTTTCTGCTCCTTCTACTTTACCTTTGTGCTGCTTTACCTTCCAGCTCCTTGCTAACCCTTCCTTCTCCTTGCTGACCCTTCCTGCTCCTTGCTGACCCTTCCTTCTCCTTGCAGATCCTTCCTACTCCTTGTTGACCCTCCGTGCTCCTTGCAAACCCTTCCTTCTCCTTATTGACCCTTCACGGTCCTTGCAGACCCTTCCTGCTCCTTGCTGCCCCTTCCTGCTCATTTCTGTTCCTTTGTGCTCCTTCTCCTACTTTATCTGTTGTGCTCCCTGCTGTCCCTTCCAGCTCCTTGCTGTCCCTTTCTGCTCATTTCTATTCCTTCTCCTTTCTGCTCCTTCTCTTACTTTACCTTCCTGCTCCTTGCTGACCCTTCCTGTAGGCTGTTTCCCCATCCCTTACTTACCTGATCTAAAGGCTGCCCCTACCCATGCTCCGCTTCCCTGATCTGTAGGCTATCTGGCCCCTCCCTTCCCTGATCGGCACGGTTATCACCCTCCTGCCCCCCAGCCGCCGTCCCTGATCTGGCAGGCTATACTGCCCTCTGCCCCCCCTGCCTTACTTCCTGATCTGTAGGCTATCTCTGCCCTCTCTGCCCCCCATGCCTTGCTTCCTTGATCTGTAGGCTATCTCTGCCCTCTGCCCCATGCCTCACTTCCCTGATATGGCAGGCTCTCTGCCCCGCACCACATACCTGATCATATAGGCTATCTCATTGTGCCTAACTTTTTGATCTATGGGCTATCTCCCTCTCTGCTTTATTGCCTTTCTTGGCTCTGCCCCCCCATGCCTCACTTCCCTGATCTGTAGGCGATCTCTGCCCCCCATGCCTCACTTCCCTGATCTGTAGGCTGTCTCTGCCCCCCCATGCCTCACTTACCTGATCTATAGGCTATCTCTGCTCCCCCATGCCTCACTTACCTGATCTATAGGCTATCTCAGCCCCCCATGCCTAACTTACCTGATCTATAGGCTATCTCTCACCTCTCTGCCCCACCATGCCTCACTTCCCTGATCTAGAGGGACAAAGGTTTAAAAATAATATCAGGAAGTATTACTTTACTGAGAGGGTAGTGGATGCATGGAATAGCCTTCCAGCTAAAGTGGTAGAGGTTAACACAGTAAAGGAGTTTAAGCATGCGTGGGACAGGCATAAGGCTATCCTAACTATAAGATAAGACTAGGGACTAATGAAAGTATTTAGAAAATTGGGCAGACTAGATGGGCCGAATGGTTCTTATCTGCCGTCACATTCTATGTTTCTATGTTTCTGTAGGCTATCTCTCCCCTCTCTGCCCCCCATGCCTCACTTCCCTGATCTGTAGGCTATCTCTGCCCTCTCTGCCCCCCATGCCTTACTTACCTGATCTGTAGGCTCTCTCTCTGCCCCCCCATATGTCTCACTTCCCTGATCTGTCAGCTGTCTCTGCCCCGCCCTCCCCCCATGCCTCACTTCCCTTATCTGTAGGCTGTCTCTGCTGGCTGTATGTGCTGCTCCCCTGCGGATTCAGTCAGAGAGAAGCAGGGATAAGATGCAGCTTCCTATCCCTGTCTCTCTCCATACACAGCACCACCTACTGGCCGGTATTGCACTGTATTTTCAATCTCACACGAAAAATAGCAGAGCAAGCTGAAAAATCCAGGGGGGGGGCAAGTACCCAAATACCCCCCCAAATGCTAGCGCAGGTTAACTCACCCCTGGGGAGATGGACAGCTGACTCCAGCACTGCAGGTTGGGCTGCTCCCTCCTCCCCATCTGCACCTGAGGTGTCAAATCAGAATCATCACAGAAGGCTCCACGCTCACCAACTCTCCTGCCCACTTTAGGCAGAGATCCAAAGGCTTCCTGGCCTCCTCCAGTGTGTCCGACTCACCGGAAAGGTAAAGATGGTGGGACCTGTGACGTGGCTGCATCCCGGCATGCCGGCGTCACGTACACGCCACGCGGCTCCTCCACTGACGTCACCTGACATCTTCCTGGCATCCGACATCATGACGTCACATCCACCCATCCCGGAATAGAAGACGGACTTTGTGAGTGTCCCGCCATTCCATCATCATCTCACTTTGACGTCTCCACTGGGCCGACCACTCCACCGGGTGCATGGGGAACTTCCGCCGCCATCTATCTGCTATCTGCCTCCTGCTGCTCCTCACCGGGCTGGGCGACAACCGCGTCTGAGGCTTGGGCCGCCTGGACCTCCGACTGTTTGCAGGGGATACCTCTGCCATTCTCTCCGCCTCACCAGCTTCCGATCTTCCTGCGACGCCGACCACCACTGCATCCAAGGCACGTGAGCCATGGGACTCTAGGTAAGCCTGTAACATCGCCACCATTTCCTCATGGGACCCAGCTGATAATGATGCCGCCATGGTAAATTCGGACTGCAACTCCTACCACTCACAAGACTGCACAACGTATTATTATTATTTTTTTTAATTTTTTTGTAGGTACTGCTCACAACCAAAGGTTCAGAAAGAGTCAGGGTCACCTATACTCCTTCTGGATGACTGGTGAGTCCCCTCCACTGTTCCACCGTTTTATTCCTTCCATCTAGCAACATTGTTGTACCTTAGTCCCAACTCCCTTAGTTCTGTGCAGCTGTCATGCCAGCCCTTCCTTTCAGTCCAGGGGCAGCACTGATATTCCACTGTTGCATAGGTGGTCAGGCTCTGTGCATTGCTGTCAGAGGACACACTGACTGTATGGGTTTGTTTGAGTAATACATACCTGACGCGGCTGCAGATAGCCAGAATCTGTCTCTCAGGCTTTAAAGGGTCACTTTAGTCACCCCGACCTATCCATCTTAATGACTTAGCCTGGTGCAGTGTAATGTTTACATTGAAGGGTTAAATTTACCTTTAGTGGTTGGTTATCATACTGACTGCCACTAGGGGTGCCTCCACTGCGCTCATTGAGTAAAACCTAGTCATGTGACACGGAAGGTCTTAGGACAGCATTTAATACAATGATTTCCGATAGGGAATCTAGGAGACATGTGTGGTGCTATGAGGCGCATTACATTATCCCATCGCTGGAGGAGACCATGCCTCTTCAATTACATCAAGGGAGGTGATGAGGAGGGGGTTTCAGTGCTGGAAAAGGGTGAGTAGAAAAGCTTTTTTATAATATTTTTTCTGCAGAGGGTGAGGGGGTGCTGGATACTAACAGGGACTGTGTTTATTCCTAACGCCTTAGTGTTCGTTTAACATGGACGCAGATTCACTCTAGTGATCCAGATTCGAAACATGGAGAGGAAAAACTTTTAGACATTTTTTTTTTTTTTTAACCAAAAGTAAAATAAAGAAGGACAAAGGAAGGACTCACTTGAGTACAATGTAAGGAAATAATTAGGAAGTAATTTAATACTTCGGGGAAGCTGCGTTATTTTTAAAACAAGGAACCCGTGTAAAGGTGGGGTTTTGTGTGTAAAATATAAGGTGATGTGTCTCCTGGGAACGAACCTGTTTTGTGCTTCATATTGTTTATAAATATCCCTAAAAGGCCACAGGACCTGCCTGTGAAAAGTAACAGATTCACTGGCACAGTCTGAGTGGACGAAAGTAGGACTCATTGGGAGATATCCAGTGACAGCCATGGACATGTCCACTGAGTGTGATGAATGGCTGATACGCACATCTTCTGGACATTAAAGAAACACTCCAACCACCATAATCACCACAGCACACTGTAGTGGTTATGGTGCCAGTATTGCACTCATTGCTGCCAATGTAAGTAGTAAATCTGTATTCTATTAATCTGACTTCTTACCTGGGTCTGTCGGGTGCCACTCACTGCCTCTCAGAGAACTGGAATCTCTTTGTTCGACCTAAGCCTGCCAGTGCCTGGCTTAGGTCATTGGCTGAGAGCAA